GGGGGGGAAGAGGCAGTGCTGAAGATGATCCCCAATACAACGAGCGTCCCTGATTTCAACAGTCTTCAGCACAGGCCAAGGAAGTGCAAATTGCTGTGGTCAGAGCTGGCGGCAAAGTACTCACCAGAAGGAATTCAGTTCTCAGTTCTGGCTGAGAGCTTTAAATCACTTAAACCAGCTCTGAGGGTGTCAGCGCTTGAGGCTTTCATACAGTCACGGGAAGGAGAAGCGGGGTGTCTGTACAGGTGGTGCCCTGATGCACTGACAAAAAGTAGTACTCCAAAACGTGCGTGTCCCTCAAAGCCTGAGAAAATTGGAAGGGAGTTTCCCCAATAGAGGAAACAGGCTTTGCAAAGGCAACAGGGCAAAGAAAAATCTATTGGATGTCAGACCTGCTGTGAATATCTCAGCACTGCAGGAGATTTCATGGACAAATACACAGAGCAAATATAATACATGGCTTATATATAATGACGCACATAAAAAGCCTACTAGTCTGAAGATAAAGGAGGCCTTGAATCATATCCTATTATGCTGCACCCTAGTTTAATCTGGTATTAAATATACTGCTTATGATATACAAATTATTTTAAGAAGTTATTAAAATGTTACAACAACAACAAAAGTAATAAGTGAATTCAAGTTTTATGCATGACCTTACAAGAAAAATTTTGGTTTTAGGAAGCTTCAGACAATGTTTAAATAGTGTGGTAACTTTCTACCACTGTTAACAAGTGTCAGCAAATTTTAAGGCCATAATTTCATCACACAATTAAATTCATTCATCTTTATTTCAGGAAAAAAACCAAAACCACCCCCCTCCACCTCCCACAGGTGGTGGTGTGCTGAGGCAAAAAGTCACTACCACATCCAGAAGTAAGGTTATCTGAAGCCAGTGGTTTTTGCAGATGCCATCTGTGTAGCTCCCACCCTATGCAGAGAGCTCAACTGGCAAATTCTGGCAAACTCTGACTCAACTCATTCAAAGCCTCCTTTGAGACTAAACGAAATAATGACATTCACTGAATCCAGACTTGATCGTTCAACACTTGCTCTGCACACAGAGAAGATGTTTGTTTTGGTCACTATGAGAAAAAAATAGGGTTATATTGTCTCCATTAAAAAAAAAAATCTAATGCAAAGCGTAAACTTGTACAATTTTAGCAGCATTTTACAGTCCTTCATAAAGTAAAACCAGGAATTAATTAAAAAGAATGTTTCCATCCACCTCATTTAAAATATCAAAATATCATGGGCAGTAATTGCTGATGCATCACAGTTGTAATCAGTAACATTTGGGTCCAGCAATTAACTCAACATGGGGAGGACTGCAGCAAATAGATCAGATTCAACATTTTCTGGCAAAGTAAATATTTACAACTCTTATGTACAGCTTCTGGACTTACAAAACAATGAGAGCTAGAAAGTTGTGTAAAGTCAAGTTTGGAATTTAAAAAAAAAAAGAAAAAAGCACTTGTCCAACCAATTTGGAGACGCTTTGGCATGCCAAAAGAGGCCCTTTTTTTTGGTTCATTGCAACTGTTATAAAACCAGCAGATAGAAAGCATCAGTGAGGCCAGATGTCTTGGGCAACATAGGCAAGGTCTCTCTTGTGTCTGTGATGTTAGCTGTTTGGCGAGCCAATATCCACTGTGATCTTTGTATACAGAGGGTACTTGTCAGTTCTTAACACCTTGTAAGATAGTGTATTTAAGCCGTCAGAGCTCATTGTCTCCCTTGTGTGAGCAATTCGGTCAAACCTGCGGAAGGGAAAAAAAAAACAAACAAAAAACACAAAGAAAGAAAGAAGGAAAGAAAGGAAAAAAAGGAAAAAAAAAAGTTTAAACAACCTGAATTTCGCATGATGTTTTTATAGCCTCTCAGGTGGCATCTCTGGTGTTTTAAGAACAACCTGAGAATCAGTATAGGTCCCATAAACTCCTAGATTTGGCCAGCCTGAGCAGTGGGCAAAGGCATATGGGGTGAAATTTTAGGCAGGAAAAAGCAGCCAAGCTTTTAAATCACACAGGTCCTTTTCGAGCTCTGCACTAGAGCACAGGTCTTATATGCCAAAGACAAGCTGAAAACAATTGTTGAGAGCTTAATTTGCTGTGTTTAAGGGGGAAGAAAAAAAAAAAAAAGAGGCAAGAGGTGTTCATGCCGTTGTGAAATCTTGGGGAAAAGGTCAGTAATAAGCTAATAAACTGGTGAGGGGAAGGGGGCAGCTTATAGCGCAGGGAGCAGAGAGGTGGGCAAGGGAGGAGATGGCCGCAGGCTTTCTGCCATCTGGCTTTTTGCACGGCAAAGAGAAAGCCCAGCAGCTGGAGCAGCATGGGCGGGAGGTGCCCCTTGAATCTGCTGCGGGACTGGGGGGAGACGCACCTCTCGGGGTTGGGTTCGTTCTTCCGGTCCCGGGAATGCCGAATCATTCTGCACTTCCCAATGATGGCATCCGGACGGGATATCCCCATGCCTTTAAACACCAGCCTGTAAAAAGCAAGTACCTTAAACACCCGTGACAGGCAATGGATGTGGGATACTCTGCCACACCTTCCACAAATGACTATTGGTTTGGGGGGTTTTGC